AAGGTATAGACGGAACACTCTTGTCTGGGGCAGTGGTCCTCTGTACTCTTGGTGCTTGGGGGGCACCAGTGGGAGGACTTCTGGAGTTCTGGCCCTGCTGGTGGACCTCCTGCTGGCACCTGGATTTTGGCCACTGTGTGACACAGAGTGTTGGACTGGATGGGCCACTGGCCTGATCCAACATGACTTCTCTTATGTCCTTACATCTGGGGCAGTAATGCTCTGTACTCTTGGTGCTTGGGGGGGCAACAGTGGGAGGGCTTCTGGGGTTCTGTCCCCACTAGTGGACCTCCTGCTGGCACCTGGGTTTTGGCCACTGTGTGACACAGAGTGTTGGACTGGATGGGCCACTGGCCTGATCCAACATGACTTCTCTTATGTTCTTATGTCTGGGGCAGTGATGCCCTGTGTTCTTGGTGCTTGGGGGGGGCAACAGTGGGAGGGCTTCTGGGGTTCTGTCCCCACTAGCGGACCTCCTGATGGCACCTGGGTTTTGGCCACTGTGTGACACAAATTGTTGGACCAGATAGGCCATTGGCCTGATCCAACATGGCTTGTGTTCTTATGACATATGAACTTTTCAGATCTCAGCCTTGCCTGCACGTGCGTCAGTAAAAGACCTAAGATTTGGATTGATTCGTAGGCACAATTTAGTTAGGAGTACCACGTATTCTCATTGACTCACAACAGCCTTTACGTATGCCACTGTGACCCGACGTTTCCACTCTACCTTAGCATTTCGGGGTCCACCTCTCCGACAGGCTCTTCTTCCCCGCCCAGCTCTTCTTCTTGCGGTTCAAAACCCCCTTCCGGGGCCCCGTAGCGACCGAGGGACACTCTCGGTGGAGAGGAGCCACCCGCTAGGCCGGTCTCGTCGTAGTCAGGGTACAACGCCGCTCCCTTGGCCTCGTCCCAAAGCCTCAGAAGGTTGGCCAGATAGACAGACTCCTGGTCCCGGCGATGCCCATCCTGAAGCAGACGCTGCAAAGCCAGGGCCAGACGCTCATCTGGCTGGAACTGGTTACCAGGAGGTGGCGCTGCAGCCCTTTCTAACGCCTGGGCCAAGCGTTCGTCTTGTAGTTGGTTGCCGGAGGACGCCAAGGCTCTCTCTAAGGCCTGGACGAGATGCTCGTCCCGCAGCTGTCCACCAGGGGGCGACAAGGCTCTCTCCAGCGCGGCCAGCCGGACCAATTCGGGATAATACACCTCATTGGCCAACGCGGTCTCAACCGCCTCGTAGGGCACTCCCTGAAGCTCACGTCGAACCCGTCGGGGACCCACAGATAAACTGTGGGCTGACCCTCCACGGGAGCTTCCCGCAGTGGAGAAAGGCTGTAAGAAACAAGAGAGAGGACGGGAAGGGCGTAAATGCAAACATCAAGAATCGAGCTGGTCACATAAGGGGGGGAGTTATGCCACTATCATTTCTGGCACCCCAAATGTTGTGGTGCAGCCACTGAGTCAACATGATACAAAAGGGGGGGGGAACCCTAGATACGAATACTGATGTGTTTCTAGGTAAAGGTAAAGGTTTCCCTTGCTCGAAAGCCAGTCGAATCCGACTCTAGGGTTGTGGTGCTCATCTCCATTTCCAAGCCGAAGAGCCAGCGCTGTCTGAAGACATTTCTGTGGTCATGTGGCCGGCATGACAAAACGCCAAGGCACACGGAACGCTGTTACCCTCCCAACAAAGCGGTACCTATTTATCTACTTGCAATTTCTTGCTTTCGAACTGCTAGGTTGGCAGGAGCTGGAGCCAGAGACGGGAGCTCACTCCGTCATGCGGCACTCGGGTCTCGAACTGCCGAACTACCGACCTTCCAGCCTGCAGTTCAGCGTCTTAACCACTGAGAATGGTTAACCAGAATGTTAAAGGACACTTAATCATCCCATTGAAATCAGTGACATCTATAGAAGCACAGAATCACAGAGAGAGAAGAAGAGAGAGAAGACTGGATCTATACCCCGCCCTTCACTACCCGAAGGAGTCTCAGAGCGGCTGACAATCTTCTTTCCCTTCCCCTCCCAACAACAGACACCCTGTGAGGTAGGTGGGGCTGAGAGAGCTCTTTCAAGGACTGCTCTTGAAAGAACAGCTCTGAGAGAACTGTGACTGACCCAAGGTCACACCAGCAGCTGCAAGTGGAGGAGTGGGGAATCAAACCCGGTTCTCTTGGATTAGAGTCCACGCACTTAAACCACTACACCAAACTGGCTCTCCACTGGAAGGGGTCCTACAGGCCAACCCCCATTCAATGCAGGATCAGCCTAGAGCAGCGGTTCTCAACCTGTCGGTCGCGACCCCTTTGGGGTTCGAACGACCCTTTCGCAGGGGTCGCCTAAGACCATCAGAAAACACAAATTTTCGATGGTCTTAGGATAGGGCTCCCAAGTCTCGTCAAATCGCGATTCACAACAGTAGCAAAATTACAGCTATGAAGTAGCAACGAAAATAATTTTATGGTTGGGGGCAGTGTTCCCTCTAAGCTGAGTTAGTGTGAGATAGCTCACAGTTTTTTAGCCTCCAGCTCACACATTTTTGTTTTAGCTCAGGAAGGATGGCTCCAGAGATACCTGAAAGATTAGTCTGTAATACGCTAAAATATAGAATTAAAGATTAAGATGAAAACTTAAGGGGGATATCGCACTGTGGGAAGCCATGCAACGGGGGGTGGGGAGATATTTGAAAATGGATATAAAAAGATTGAAATGTTGTGGAAAATTTAACTTGTTTTTTTTTATATCTGTACAATAAAAATGTTTTAAAAGAAGGAAGGATGGCTCCAGAGCAAATTAATTCATACAGTAGCCAAATCACTTGCTCACAACTTTAATGCCAGTAGCTCACAAAGTAGAATTTTTGCTCGCAAGACTCCACAGCTTAGAGGGAACATTGGTTGGGGGTCACCACAACATGAGGAACTGTATTAAAGGGTCGCGGCATTGGGAAGGTTGAGAACCACTGGCCTAGAGCCTCCCTGATAAGCGTTTGTCCAGCTGCGGCTTAAAGACTGCCAGGGAGGGGGAGCTCACCACCTCCCCAGGCAGCCGCATGACTCTGACTGTCAAAATGTTTCCCCTAACATACCTCCATATATGGTGGAGGTGTGGCAAATTACAAAACTATTGGAAAAAAATTCACAAAATCTTCCTTGAGGTATTTAAACTAAAATTACCCTTAAACCCTGAGATTTACTTACTAAACATGATTCCGGACAATGTAAAAAGCAATAAACGTATAATAATACATGTATTGACAGCAGCTAGAATTTTGGTAGCTAGATGGTGGAAGTCGAAAACCATACCATCTATAAGAGAACTTAAACAGAAGATTCTGGACATAGCAGAAATGGACAAACTTAGTTTAACATTGAATAATAAACCAGAAGAGGTATTTTGGAAAAGATGGAAAATTGTATATGACTGGCTAAAGCACAAGAGAAAAATATGATAAATTTCTAGTGGAAAATGTATAAGAACGAATGAAACTATGTTTTACTAGAGATGTATAAAGTAAGAAAATTGTAATTGTATGGATTAAATACTATGTAAAGGTGAAAATATGGAAAATAAATTTACAAAAAAAAAAAAATGTTTCCCCTAATATCCAGCCGGTAGCTTCCTGCCCTTAATTTAAGCCCATGCTTGCGAGTCCTCTTCCCTGCTGCCCACAGGAACAGCTCCCTGCCCTCCTCTAAGGGACAGCCCTTCAAAGACTTCAGGAGAGCCATCCTGTCCCTCCTCAACCTCCTCTTCTCCAGACTGAACATTCGCCCCCCCCCTCCCCCGCGGGTGCGTTTGTGGCGGGGGGGGGGGGGGGGGGCATCATCCTCGTCGCTCTCCTCTGCACCCGCTCCGTCCGCATCCTTTCTGAAGTGAACTTCTAAATGAATCTAAATGAACCTCACTTTGGTTGAGTCCTTTGTCAACCACCCCAGAATAGTGGGATGTAGAACAAGGCACATTGTACTGAATGACAGGGTAGAAAATGGGCTGCATGGTTTCCTCACATCTCTTGGAATATACCATCTAGGCCAGTGGTGGCGAACCTATGGCACGGGTGCCAGAGGTGGCACTCAGAGCCCTCTCTGTGGGCACGCATGCCAGCGCCCCAGCCAGGCCCAGACCATCATTAAAGTGTTGAATTCTCTGCCAAATAATTTTAAGTAAAGGAAAGCCTTTGGGATTGCTTTCCTTACTTTGTTTGGATCATCTTAAGTTAATGTATGAGTTGTTTTTTCTAAAGTAAAACCTCAGATTTCAGGTTAAATTGCCGTGTTGGCACTTTGCGATAAATAAGTGGGGTTTGGGTCGCAGTTTGGGCACTTGGTCTCTAAAAGGTCCGCCATCACTGATCTAGGGACTTTTTAAAAATAGGAATGTACCCTGGAAATTCAAACAAGAGAGCTGGAATATCCCTGAGCTTCTCCCCACCAACCTGTCCTCAGCCCAGGCCCTTCCCTCCGAATACAGAAGTAAGATTTGTTCCAGATTGTTCTCCTCGGCTTGATTTTCCTTCGATCAGTAACAGGAGAGTAGCTGTTTGCAGCACCAAGGAAAAGCAGATGTACGCTGGGCGGCCTTGTGGTTTACGGTGCTATTTGTAGCAGATATCCGTAGGAGCATTTGCTCTAATTTGCCTCCGAAATCCTAGATGTCGCCATCGATTTAGAGTCGCAACCAGTGTTCCCTCTAAGCTGAGTGAGTGTGAGCTAGCTCACAGTTTTTTAGCCTCCGGCTCCCAGGTTTTTGTCCTAGCTCAGGGAGGAGGGCTCCAGAGCAAACAAATGTATACAACCGCCAAATCGCTCGCTCACAACTTTCATGCCAGTTGCTCACAAAGCAGAATCTCTGCTCACCAGACTCCACAGCTTAGAGAGAGCATTGGCTGCGATAGTGTACGTACACACACAAACCTTCCAAGGAAGGTCAGCTGTTAAATCCAGGCCTACCGGCTCAATATATCTCCCAAACTAATTGACAGCAGAGCCTCCCAATAATCCATTATTGCAAATCATCTGTCCAATTGCTGGGCATTATTAATACTAAAAAATATATATTTTTCAGAAAGGATACATTTCTCTTAATACAAAACATTATAAAATTTACATAAACTTTTTTATAGCAATAACACTTAACAACAACATGTTGTTAACAACCTATTAAAACACAACTGCAAAACAGACTTTTAAATATATGGCAACAATGATTTATATACCAAATACAACGATCCTACCTTAATAAAAAGCAACACTTCTATATTTTACCGGTATATGAGGCAACTTATTTGCATGTTTAGATGTATACTCAAAAAATACAAACCATATTTCCAAGAAATTATTGCTTTTTAACAATGACTGTGCTACTAACAACTACTTCCCACGTTTTAGAATACTAATTGTTGGCTGCGGTCACACGGAGCAGTAGCCATGCTACTGCGATGGAAGATAGGTGGATTTTCCGGGCGCAATCTCACCGCCACATCTGGGAAGCGTAGAGCTCCCGTGGCGAACCCGAGGCTTCCCTCTGAAGATGCGTGGTTAAAAACTAGTACCTCAGTTTCCGGAAACTGCGGGGCAAGGGCGGGCGTCTGATCGCGTTTCCGGTGGCATCCGGCGCCCGCCCATGCCCCATTGCGAAAAGGTTTTTCCCCCGAGGTCTCCAGGGATGCGCACAAGCACCCAACAGGGCACGCAGATACTTCAGGTTAAAAAACAACAACACAACCCCGTTTGCCGTGCCGCTTCTTTGGCGCATCGTGTGATCGGCACCTCCCCCCTAACCACAGGACCTCGACGGGACCGCGGGGGACGCCTGATCGTGCAGTCGCGCATTATTTCACTGCGGGGCAAACAGCCACGCCTCCCCCCGGAATATCCGGCCCGTGTGACCGGGGCCACTAATCATTATTATTTTGACTTGCTTCCATTCCTGGACTTTCCACATCTCCTCGGGGGTGAAACAGAGTCGTACGATGCTCTGATGTGCGGGCCAGCAATCCAGCCCCGGCGCTGACGCTTATGGGAAGGCAGATGGTGATCTGTACCGCCGTAGGATTCAGGGGTACAGACGGCCCCCTCTGGAAAGGGGGAAGGATTTCCAGGGTAGGAAGCCAGGCTGGCAAAGGCCAGGCCGCTCTGCAGTCTTCCTGCAGGGTTAGTCACTGCCTTGAGGAGGAGGAGGAGGAGGAGGAGAACAGGGAGGCTTGCTACACAGGAGAGCTGCCGATGCCATGAAGCAAGGCCCTCCTGAGCTTAGCGGAGGTGTGCACTTCTGTCCTTTCTTCTTTCTCCCACCCCCTCCCCATCCATTCCACAATATGCAGAAGCCTCTCGGCCTCTGGTTCTGCAATCACAGTGCCAACCGATTTCCACAAGCCCACCCCCGATGGGCAGGAGGTTCAGGATGGACAAAAGGAAACACCACTTTACACAGAGGGTGATTAAATGTGGGATTCGCTGCCAGAGGATGCAGTGATGGCCACAGGAACAGCTTGAAAAGGGGATTAGGTAGATCCATGGGAGGTACGTCTGTCAATGGCTACTAGCCTCTGGTGGCTGAGGGGAACCTCCACATTCAGAGGCACTGAGCCTCTGGATTCCACAGCCAGGAGGCTGGGCCTCTGTGCCTCTGTGCCCTCCTCCAGAGGAATTGGTTGGCCACTGTGTGAGGCAGGATGCTGAACTAGATGGACCATTGGTCTGATCCAGCAGGGCTCTTCTGATGTTCTTATGAAGGCCTCGGCCTCTCTGCCCTGTTGTTGGCCATCCAGAGAAACTTATTGGCCACCGTGTGAGACAGGATGTTGGACTACGTGGACCACTGGTCTGACCCAGCAGGGCTCTTCTGATGTCCTTCTCAGGGGAAGGCCTCGGCCTCTGCCCTGTGGTTGTCCCTCCAGAGGAACTGGCTGGCCCCTGTGTGAGACGGGAGGCTGGACTAGCTGGACCACTGGTCTGATCCAGCAGGGGTCTTCCGATGTTCTCATGAAGGCCTCGGCCTCTATGCCCTGTTGCTGGCCCTCAGAAGAACTGGTTGGCCACTGTGTGAGACAGGGAACTGGACGAGATGGACCAGTGGGCTGATCCAGCAGGGTTCTTCTCATGTTCTTATGATCAATCGACTTCTGGAACTCCCTACGGGTCGCCAGAGTTGCCAAGGACGCCACTTACATAAAGGGGCATGCGTTTTGACCTTTGCCACCTCGTCAACACCCACTCCAGTTGCACACTCCATTTCATAAAAGCAGACATCACACCTGTTTGGTAAGCATACCCCCCCCCTACACACCCATGAAAAGAAGTACTGCGCGCCTTCCTTGTACAACTGACCCTGGATGCATCACAAACACCTCCCTGCCGCTGGTCCCACAGCCCTCGTCTTCTCAATAGTCCCAGACGCCCTATTTGGCATGCTCTTTACGCACAGGCTGGGCGTGCCTCATAATCCTCTTGCCTCGCTACATGCGCTCATGCTGCTTTGTATGGTGCGTGTCTGTGCTTTATGCACAAGCCATGCAATTCCGTCCTCGCAAAGGCGCATCTCCCTTGTGAGGCAGTCCCCCCGCCCAGGGCAGCTACCCACAACACAAAACCCGTGACACAATTTATTCAGCATGAATACAAAGGAGCCACATATTCACAGGCAATGGTCCCTCTAAGCTGTGGGGTCTTGTGAGCAAACATTCTACTTGGTGAGCGACTGGCATTAAAGTTGCGAGCGAGCGATTTGGCTGCTGCATCAATTGGTTTGCTCTGGCGCCATCCTGCCTGAGCGCAGACGAAAACCTGTGAGCCGGAGGCTAAAGAACTGTGAGCCGGCTCACACTAATTCAGCTTGGAAGGAACACTGGTCACAGGTACCTGCTTTCCTCTCCCATCAAATGTACGCACTTGGGGAAGGCAGTTCTGGAGTGGTGGGACGGTTCCGGAGAGGTGGGAGAAAAAAAACCACACACACAAACATGACTCACTGCCTCATGATTTCTCACAAGGCACGCACACGCACACGCACACACACAGAGAAGGATGGCCCATCATCTTCGGATATAGAGGGCAATTTGTCATTCTGGGTCCTTGCAGGCTTACACAACACAGTGATTTCCCACACCGCCCTAAACATAGCAAAATCTTCCTCCGCACACAAAGTCCAGAGCGCCAAAGCGTCTCTTGGTCTGAGCATGGCCATAACCACATTAATCCTGGGGAGACAGAAGTAAGGTGATAAGACCGCCTCTGTTCCTCTCCCTCCCTCCCCAAACAAGTGCACATTTCCCCCCCCCCCCCCACAGGTCAACATCGACGCAATTCCATCCAAGGCTTGCTGGAGGCAGGGCAGCAGACGTCTGGCGGAGAGGCAATAATGGCTAATTTTTAATTTAAAAATGCAGATCACTCTTGCTGGGGGCAGGAAAGCACACGTCTTGCGGAGAGGCAATAATCGCTATTTTTTTAATAATAATTTAAGAAATGCAGATCACTCTTATTTCTGCAGCAGAGGAGGAACGAACGGCAAGCCGGCGCGAGAAGGCGCTCCAAGTGCCCAGATGGCCAATGCATGCATGGCTCGCAAGCAGCCGGAGCGGGAAGGGTGCCAGAACATCTGCCCGCATCCCGACGAGACGTGTCGGACTCGGGGTCCAGCCCACCCTTACTGCGGCTGCCCGTGCGCCAGGCGCAACTGCTTTCCCCGCGGCGTCCCCCGTGCGCCATAGCGCGCCTACCTTGGCGGCTCCGAGGCCCGAGAGCAGCGCGAGCAGCAGCGCCGGGCCCATCGCTCCCCGAGTCGGCGGCAGGAAGCAGAGGCTGCCCAGACGGCGGCGGCGGCGACAGCAAGCGAGCGACGGAGGGAGGACAGGGAAGGGGCAGAGCCAGCCTGCCTTTGGGGCCAGGACGGAGCCTCGTGGGAGGACGACGGGGGCTGGCGAAGGGGACGCCTCCCGCTCCCGATCAGCCCTTTGGGAAGAAGGGAAGGGGTGCCTCTGGCCATGGGCAGAGTGCGTCCCCGCTCTCTCCTGAAAGGTTATTTGGGAAGAGGGAAAGGGTGCCTCTGGGCGCAGGCAAAGTGCATCCTTCTTCTTCTTCTTCTTAAAAAAATTAAACTGTTTATTGAAGATTACAATAAAATAGAATGCGGTACTTAGTTTTTTTTTCTTCCATATTTTTTTATTGAAATTTTTTTAGAATACATTCCAGTATAATATAATAGCAAAATAAGTAATCCAACATTACATAAACAGCTTAAACATAGGTTAGGTGAATAACACATGCTACCTCCAAACCTAAGTTTTCCTACTTTTTCTTTTACATGTCTTGATATGAGAAGTCAGATGTATAGATATGCGGTACTTAGTAAAGCTTGAATGAAAAACAATTAGGAAATGATCATTGAGTTTGTGGTGAATCGAGGGCTGCCGTTACAAGTTATCTGCCCATTTTGGCTCATCATTCAAATAATTAAAAATAAATGTTCAAGCCAGTTTTAAAGATCCTTCAACTACTTAATGGTAGAGGTATAAGGTGCCTGAATCGATTAAGGGAGCTTTCTGTACACTTGCTTCTGGGTCAACAAAAGCATCTAGCCACAATGACCATTTGGTCATAATACAGTATTATTAATACTAATAGAGGGAACCTGTCTATCTTGCTGCACAATCCAGTCTGAGGTCTTGTCCAGTAAAAAATATTCCCATACCTTTTGGTACCACTGATGCATCCAGGGGAGATCCTGTATTTTCCAACCTGAAGCAACTAAGGTTGGGTCTTTAGGGATATAATGACCTGTTATCAAGTGAATTTGTGATATGATTTCACTCCATAATCAATTGACCTTACTACACGACCACCAACAATGGTAAAAAGAACCTTTTGCCTCACATAGTTTCTAGCATGATGACATGTGCGGATTAATGAATGAGAGTTTTGATCGGGTGAGATGCCAACGAAGCAAAATTTTTACTTTGGGAAGAGGGAAAGGGTGCCTCTGGGCACAGGCAGAGTGCATCCCTCTCCTCCCTGAACTGTTATTTGAGGTGAGGGGCAGGGTCGTAGACACCTCTGACATACTAGATATTCAGTATGACTATGCAAATACATCTCAGAATCCAAAGTAAACCCTGGCTTCCCAGATACCCTGGCCTGGCCTGAAAATATTGGAGCCATGGTTTGGTTGAAGTCGGGTCCAGGGCAGCAGAATTGCCTCATTTTCTATATCTGGTGAACCAGCTTTCTCTCCTTCCCTCCCATGTACAGATGCACACAGAGACACTCAAAAATGGCTATTCCCGTTATCTCCTGTTTCTTTTTCTCTAAAGCTGCAAGTCTCAGCATACCAAAATCACCTTTACTTCCAGCCTTTAAGCCACAGGCCTGTTCTCCCCCACACAAAAAAACATATACAGCTCAAGACAGAAATATTCCCATTTATTTATTAATTCAAATTTATACCCCGCCCTCCCCGCAAGCGGGCTCAGGGCGGCTTCCAATAAAACACAAATTACATTAAAATACATAATATACAACATGCCATAAAACATTATAAATACAAAGTGCAGGCGGCAGGTTAAAATTCATTTCGATGGTAAGTTGCAGAATCAGTTGCCATTGCCCTGGTGTCCGCAGATGGCTTCTATCATTAGTCCGTGTAGTTGTTAAATCCACAGGCCGTATTAGTTGTAATACTCTGCAGTGACCTGCAGTAGCATGAGCCTATTATTTCATTTCTTTTTCTCTAACACTGCAGGTCCCAAGATACCAAAATCCAGGGGTCATTTCCTGCAGGAGCAGAGCTCCAGCAGTAAAGAGCCCAGGGGGCTGGCACATGCAACAAGCCCCACCCCCTGCTCCCGGCAGCCCTCAGTCAGAGCAAGAAGCAGCCAGGTAAGTTGCAGAGCTCCCCCCAGTCCAAAACAGTCCAGTAGCACCTTTAAGACCAAGTTTTATTCAGGTACAAGCTCTCCCGCCTCTGCGAGGACAGATCTGCACGTTCCCCACCCCCATAGCTAGCAATCCAAAACAGTCCAGGGGTCTTGCCTTCTGACACACTTCCGGTGACGTCAGGGATGTGGCATATGCAAACGGGTTATGCTGATGAGTTATGCTAATGAGCTCCTGCACCTCTTTCTATGAAATGACCCCTGCCAAAATCACCTTACCTTCCAGCAGGTTGTCTGCTTCAATGATCCACAGGTTGAGGGTTGGGGTGTCAGGCAAAGATCCCAAAGAAAAACAAGGCAAGGCAGTGGAGGGGTGCTCCGGTGTGGCATGTAAATGTCCCAAAGTCCCCAGAGAAAGAGCTGGCAGCCTCCACGAAGGGGGAGGAGGAGGAGAGGACACTGTTCTGGCTGTCAGAGCAGCACAACAGAATTGCAAAGAAATAAGGTCCTGGAATGGAGGGTGAGTCCTGGATGAGAATCTATAGCTTTCCTGGCTCCAGCAGGTAAAGTTAAAGGCGGGGGGGGGGAGGCAGAAAGGTGGCAAAGAGAGATCACATCCAGGTGGATGGACCAACAGGCTGGGAGGGGACGGTGGAGCCTCCCTCCCCCCCAATGCCTGGAGCAGGCTGGTAGGCTAGGGTTAGGGTCAGGGAAGATCAGCCAAAGGTAATCAGCTCACCTGGCTGCTTGATAGTAATTACATTTTGCACTCAGGCCTAGGCAGGTGCCTGGCTTTGCAAGCCCCTGTGGCAAAGGGTAGGCATGCAGATGTCTCATCAGTTAATCCAGGGGCATAGCCAGAGAATTTGTAGAAAAGAGCAAGAGAGTCCAGGAGCACCTTAAAGACTTAGCAAAATTTGTGGCAGGGGAGGAGCTTCCGTGAGTCACGGCTCACTTCTTCAGTGACTCCCAAATGCTCACCCCCGGCCCTGCCACAAATTTTTGTTAGTCTTTAAGGTGCTACTGGACTCTTGCTCTCTTCTACTGCTACTGACAAACACGGCTACCCATCTTGATCTAACAAAATTTGTGGCATGGTATGGGCTTCCGTAGGGTACCAGGGTGGCTCAAGTGGTTAAGACGCTGAACTGCACTCCAGAAGGTCGGTAGTTCAGCAGTTTGAGACCCGAGTACGCCGCATGACGGAGTGAGCTCCCGTCTCTGGCCCCAGCTCCTGCCAACCTAGCAGTTCAAAAGCGAGAGATTGCAAGTAGATAAAAAGGTACTGCTTCGGTGGGAAGGTAACAGTGTTCCGTGCACCTCGACCATTTATTCACACCAGCCACATGACCATGGAGACGTCGTCGTCGGACAGTGCTGGCTCTTCGGTTTGGAGACAGAGATGAGCTCCGCCCCCTAGAGTCGGATTCAACTGGCTTTCGAGCAAGGGGAACCTTTACCTTTATGGGCTTTTGTGAGTCACCACTCACTTTTTCAGAAGCTCCTACCCTGCTACATATTTTGTTAGTCTTTAAGGTGCTCCTGGACTCTTGCTCTTTTCTGCTGTTACGGACAGACTTAACACGGCTATCTATCTTGATCTTTCTCCAAAGCAAGGCATCACTAGCTCCTAACATGGCTGCCAAGGCAAATTTAGCCAGGATGGAATCAGGGCAGACAGCACACATCTAGGTAGGAAGGGGGACCTTGGTAACACCACCCACGCACACACCTATAACCAGGGGTCATTTCCTGCAGGAGCACACAGGAGTGGTGCTCCGGCAGTAAAGAGCCCACGGGGTGAGCACATGCAACAAGCCCCACCCCCTGCTCCCAGCAGCCCCGAGCCACAAGGAGCAAGAAGCAGCCAGGTAAGTTGCAGAGCAAAACCCCCCCCCCCAGATAGCAATCCAGAACAGCCCAGTGGCACCTTTAAGGCCAAGATTTATTCAGGTACAAGCTCTCCCTCCTCTGTTAGGGCAAATCTGCGTGTGTGTCCCCCATAGCTAGCAATTCAAAAGAGTTCAGTGGAGCCTGAGCGGTGGGTGTTGCCTTCTGACACACTTCCAGTGATGTCAGGGGGTGTGGCATATGCAAATAAGTTATGCCAATGAGCTCCTGCACCTCTTTTTCTACGAAATGACCCCTGCCTATAACAAAAGATAAAATGGAGATGGGGCTATTTCTTTCTCTATTAAGGCAGGGCGACCAGGATATGGTAATAATACAATTATTAGTATCCCATCTGAGAATGGAAACCATAATTCTCTGGATCCATTACTGACATAAGAGAGTTTCAGAGGGTAACTGTGATGCTCTGTAGTAGAGTAGACTCCAGTAGCACCTTAGAGACCAACAAGATTTTGGAGGCATAAGATTTTGAGAGTTGATGCTCCCTTCATCAGATTACCCACAAAGGGAGCTTTGAGCTTATTACCCCCAAAATCTTGTTGGTGTCTAAGGTGCTACTGGACTTGAATCTCAGTGCATGTAGATCAGAGTTTGTGTTGCAGGCCACAGGAAATAGATTCTTCAGTCCAACCACTGAGGCCTCCTGATTGGTAGATAGATTGATCTTTTCCTTCCCTTCTCCAGTGACGAAGTGTCTCGGCTCCAGTGACAAAGTGTCTGGAATGAGGGAATAAACAAGTGAGTTTAGCAGACATGTGAGGAGAGAGTAAGTGAGGAGGAGTGAGGAGAGAGTAAAAAAAATCTATCAAGATAGGCTAAGTGAAAAGGATTCAAATAGTGAGGAGGGCAAATAGTTAAAAAATACTTTTGGGTACCAACATTGTGTGTAACTTCTCAGTGTTGTAGCTGCTCACTTAGATGTGGCTAATTTTAGTTCTGTTCCAATTTTCTGGTCTAGTTCTAATTTTAGTTTGGTTGTAGCTGCTCAGACTACTCAGGTGTAGTTCTACTGCAATATGGGAA